CCATTCACGATTTGATTATAATTTTATTTTGAATAGTGATACATAACTCTAAAATAGTAGCTCTAATGGGAGCTCTAATAAGATGCAAGAGAAAGAATAGAGAGAGATAAATAGAGGAGTGTGGGGGAAAATGAGTGAGAGTACTAATTAGTGCTATCACTAATGATGTGGCAGTAGGCCCCATCAGGAATGATTTTATGTTTTGGCCTTGGTGTTGTATTTTTTTTTCTTTTTTTATTGAGTGCCATGTCATTAGTGGTCTTTTTTAGAGTTCCAAAATTAGTGGTCATTGTTGGGAGTGTGGGCCCTCATATCACTTGAACACTTTTCACATTATTAGAGCTCTATTAGAACTTTTAAATTAGAACTCCCACACATTATTGTTTTATTGTCAAATTATACCCTACACATGTTAAATAAAAGACAGTCTTAGTGCACGAGATGTTAAAAAACAAAATAAATAAAAATAAAATAATTATTTTTGTAATTTGAATTCGTCACGCTAAGATCGAAATGGAGCAATTATCATGAATATTATCGAGGAGCATTTATTCTCTTTCAATAAGGATGGAGGGAGACTGGGAAGACAATACAAAAGTAGTCTCGTTTTTTTTGGAAATTCAAAAGTAGTCTGTAATGTTTCCTATATAATATGATTTCATAATTAGGAGAAATATTATTTATAAAGAAAATTTGTGTATAAAAAAGTTTTTACAAGAGGGTGAGTCTCACATAAGTCCCGCATGTATAGGTCTCACCTTTATGTGAGAGATTCAACGCATTCTAGGCATAAACGTAGCATTGCTAATAAAATTATTAGGGGAGATTTTGATGACCTTTGAGATCTACCATGAGTTTCATTTCAACGACCTGAATCGTTCCATTTGTAAGTCTTTTCATGTGTACACAAAAAATTAAGTCAATCCATAATCATAGCCGGTTCAATTTATTGCGTTTGTCACAAAATAAATAGAAGGTATATTTTTAAAAACACAGTTGTCTATTTTTTTGGAGATATACAATAAATTGTATTTGTTACAATTATCATATTAATTTAATTTTTTTTTTATAAATGATATATAAAAAAAAATTTATAAAATAAAAAATGCAATTTATCAAAATGAAACTCATAAAAACTTGCATTGAAAAGCAAACCGAAAGTGAATGCAGCAATTGAACCCTAACCCCATCTCTCTCTCTCTCTCTCCTCTTCTCTATTGTTTTAAAATAACCCTCTCTTTTTTTTCTCTTTGTATGTATGTATATATATATATATACTGATAATTCCTCTATTTGATTGAGAGGAAGAAGAACATAATGCAGATAAATTTTCGTATGTCTGTTTGCATATATGTTTGTAAGAGTGTGGTTCTTTGTGTTCTGTTTTTGTTTGTATTTATTCACTTTACATTCTGATACTTATGTTCAATATGATATTGGTCCTTCAATCTATTTAATTTTAAGGAAAAAAAATTGCTAATAGATAGAATAAAGAAACTAAAAATAATTGTAAGAGTATAAAAGTACAGGTACAGTGTGTGCTCAGATGCAAGTATTACTTACACTTTTTTTTTTTTTCTTCAATTTACCATTCCCATAATTTTAGTATGGCATACACACTTTGTCTCTCTTCAATCATAAACGTTATTATTATTATTATTATTATTATTATTATTGTTATTATTATTATTTTGAGTTTTGTATGCTTTTCTTATAAAGATTTACACGGTAGGTCTATTATGTTCAATGTGTTTATTGTATATCATTGTGTTTTAACAAGTTTATTAATTGAAAGTTTGAAGTTTAACGCTTACAACTTTTATGTCATAGTTTTAATTGTAAATATTAAGCTTACAATTTTTACAGTTTACAAAAATTCACATTATTTTATATATTAATTAAAAGTGTGAATAGTAAAGTTTATAGCTTTCACATTCATCATAAATTTAAACATTTATACAAGAAGAATAAATCCAAATAAATAAATATTTTAACTGATATGATTTTCTCTTAAAATATAAATTTCTGTTAAAATATAACTAAAAACTCAGATATCTTCAGTGGTTTTCTCTAAAAAAAACAATATTCCATTATCTTTTTTTAGAATGATATTAAAAAAAAAAATGAATTTTTTGATTTTTGCATAGTGAGAGAACTTTTTGAATTTGTAAAATATTTTAGAACTTATGATACAAAATGTACAATACTTTTTCTTTCTTTTTTTTTGGGTTAAAAATCCCAACCAAAAGAAGTCCTTAGCTTCACCACTCTTCTTCCAATAGAGTTTGACCATTGGAATTAATTGGTTGCGTCATTTCAAACCCCATTCAATTCTTAATTGTGCCCACAACCCTAAAGAATAGGGCAGGTCAATTGTGTCCACAACGCCCTGCTTCGCCTAATTCGTCCAGTTTAATTTCATTTTTCAAGGAAGTATTTTGATCAATAAGATTAGGTTGGATTAATACTTTAAGCTCGTTTGATAAATGGGTAAAGTTTGAAATTTATGTATGTAATCCAGCGTGACTTGTCTGGAATTAATATATTTAAATATTTATTTTATTTTATAATTATTTACTAATCTAATATATTGAAAATTAATGCAATGGGAAATCAAGTGGTATGAGATAAAAGTCATTATTGCAACTTTCAGCAAAATTAATGTAACATATATTTTAAATCTTATTGCAAATTAAATTATCATATTCTAATTAATGCAATAGATAAACATTATGGGCATGATATTCCGAAAGTGTATTTGTTTTAGGGTTGAATTTGGATAGGCCCGATATTCTTGGATCGGACTTGAACAAACATAAAATGTCTTTTATTAAGTAGTATAAGTATAGTCTAAATTTGGCTCAATTTGACAGATGTCCACCTCTACTTTGACTCAACTCTACAAACATTAACTACAACTTTATAGCAGAAAATATCAAGAATATATAAATCAAACACATAATAGATTATAGACACTCACGTAATAAGAAAATTTATGGAATATGGAATCTACAGTTATGTGAGTGGTTGTGAGTTATGTTGTGTTTGATTTTTAAAAAATTAACACATTTACAAATATTAAAAAAGGGCATTTTCATCCAAATTTAAGGGCAAAAACAATTAACAAAATTATCTTTCCTGTTAGGAAACTAACATGTTTTCTTAAAAAGTGTTTAGTAACCACAAAATTTAAATTATTTATTTATTTATTTGTATCATTCAAACTTCAATAAAAACATGATTGTTATAAAAAACATTAAAATCACATAATTACTACCACATTTCCGCTACATGATTTAAGTATATGTGGGATTCTCGTATTTCACACATTAACATCACATTAGTGAGGGGATTGATAGTGAGGGGATTGATAGTGAGAAATTGTTAAATTATTTTTATATAAAATAATAAAATAAATAAAAAAATATAAAAAATTAAACATTATATTTAAAAAAAAATTCCCAATATATAAAAAATAAATAAAATAAAAAAATTTCTAATCCCCTTACTATTTTTCTAATACCATCTCTACCTCCTCCTTACCAATCCCCCTTCCTCCTCCTTACTAATACCAAGGGATTGCTAATCCCTTCCTTATCTCTCAAAACAAACACCTCATTCTCAATCCCCTCTTCACTACCAAATCCAATCCCCTCCCTATAACTCCAAACAAACGGGGCCTTAGACTGTTAAGAGCATCTTTAATGATTATTATTAAAATTATAATTTGGCACATTATAGTAGTAAATTGTCAAATTATAACAACGGTACTTCAATGATGACATATGATTTTGGCACAATACCAGCCAACTTTTTCTATTTGCTTAGGTGGTGTTTGGATTTATTTTTTTGAGTGATTTTTTTATATTGATTTTTGTCATCTTTTGTAATCTTATTAAAAATTTTTTTTGAAAAAAATTATATATTTACGATCAAATAAAAAAAGTAAAAAATTTAAAATTTAAAAAGTAATTAAAAATTCTTTTAACAGCAATATTACAAATCCAAACTTAACTACTCAGAAATTATGTAGAATTATCATATTGTAATTAAATATTATTCTACAAATAATTTCTATATTACACAAATTTAACCTTAATTACACATCAAAATAGTTAAAGTGAGGTTCATAGACTATTCTTCTTGTAATTCACCCAAACACTAACCTACATTAATCTTCCAAACTCTTCCCTTTTGATAACCATTGGATCAACAATATGAACATTCAACGGCTCTCTTTTCTCCCTTCAATTTCTCACTGTCTATCTTCATCTTTGCCTTATCACTTCATCTATGATCTATCTGTCTCCCACATATTCCCTCTCCAACAGTTTTGTTCCTCTCTCTCTTTCCTCTGTTTTTTTTTTTTTAAAATCTTCATCGGACATTTGGATCTCTTCATGTGGATCTCTCTTTCAAGGTAGATAAGTCCGGTGAAGAGAAAATTTACGTGGAAAATCTTATCATAATGGTGTGAATTGTTTGGTTTGGTACAATTTTGGGATATCTGTAGCATTAGCATTACTGACGAATGCAATTATAAACAAAAAAAACCTGATTATATATGGTTGTGGGACAATGGTTATCTAGCTTTGTCATCTCCTGTGCAAATGAATTTGGTGGTATAACGACTAAGATTTATAAATTATAAAAATGTCATCTTTTGAACTCTTGGTATATCTCATTATCCGAGTAAGTAAAAGAAGATCAAACGAATACAAAGACGGTCCCAAAAACTCTAACATTTGACACCTAAAAGGTTGGTAACCTAAGGAATCAACGCCTCGCAAATTTTTGTACCTTTACATTTAACTTGTGTTACAGGAGCAGCTTTCTCAGAACTAAACAAAACAACACTTACCCTTCTTTTACTTACATACCAATTCAATATTCAACTTCAAAATCAGATCCAACCAATAGAGGAAGAGGTGGGAGGAAAAAATGATAATACAAATAGGAAAATGAAGGTTTATTAAATTAAAACAAGCCCCCTCTTACAATTTAGGAAAATGATGATTTATTAAATTAAAACAAGTCCCCTCTTACAATTGTCTTCTAGAACAAAACTCCAAGTACAATTTCATTTTCCGCACATGTCAAGCTAATGACAGTACATTTTTTTTTCCCTTGCACATTACATTGATAGAAATAGATAATTGAGACGGAAACAATCACGTCCCCATCTCTACTTAAAGAAAAGAAAAGAAAAAATAGCGATTTCATACAAATATACAAACATCTCACTGAATGATATGAAGACAGAGCAACGTCAAGTGGATGGAGATGAGAAGGTAACTCCAGCTCCAACTGTGCAGACTAGACTTTGAAGCATTATTCCCAGAACCTGTTCACCAGCAACAAAAACAAGTCTCTAGTTAATTATTGCAAACAACCATGAGAGTCCAACTTCTATGATGCATCACTGCAAGGATGTTCAACTTTGCAACTCATTGCATAGTTATATGAGAACTGTAGTAATTGCAATAGGCCAATTTTTATTTTGTTTTAAATTGCAAATTAAAGCCCAAACAATCGGCTTTGTTATCCCTCTCAAAAAGACTAAGTGAAAAGTTTGGACTAGGCATAACCTAAAAAAGACGATTTTTGATTTTTTTTTTCTTTTTTTTGGCCCACTTTGTTTAGTAAAAATTTGGCTTTTATAACTTTTCATTGCAAAATGACAAAGTTGCCCTTTAATGTTTTATGATTTTCACTTTTCCATTTTTATATGAACCTTGTTCTCACATTTGGGGAGGGCAAAATGGTAAAGTCATATTACATCGTGATGATGTCAGCAAAATGACTCAAAAAAACCCTTGGATTGGCTTGTAAGCTTTTTCACCTAAACAAATTCCATGCCAAAATGCAAAGTAAAAAGTAGGGTTTTCTCTGGCCAAAAAAACTAAAAAACACCTAAAACAGCCGGCCCCAAACAAGGCCCTTAGTGCATCAGGGAAGGTAAAGTAGACTTACCTGAACAAGTGGAGGAGTCCAGCATTGTGAGGATTGTTTGGTTATTGTAACCAGCATAGGCACAAGTAGTACAACTTGACGCGTTTCCAAGGGTTAAATTTCCTGAACCTTCACATTGCATAGGAGGGCATATTCCCCAGAGGGATGATTTAGCTTGGGATGGTTCACATTGTAATCTGAGCACATGATCAAGAATGAAATAAAGAAAATATCATACTTTGAACTGAGAAGAACCGAGAAGTTTTGGCGAAGAGGAAAAATGAAGTTGACAAGTGAGACACTTACGTCCAGTTTGCTGCATCACACTTGCACATCACACAATTTCCAGCAGTGAAGACGTAAGTGCCATTAGCGACAAGTAAAGGGTAGTCCAATGAGCCATTGCGCACCATTGATGCACAAGCTGTCAAGGATCAGTCAAACATCAGTCTTTCACAGTGAAAAACAACAAATAAATCTCTTGAAGAAAAATTGAAAAATGCACCAAGTGGAGACACAGGTCACCATAGCCATCGATGATTAAGGATGCTGATGGTAGAAAAATTAAACGATGCCATGGTCTCGGTAAAGAAGTTACACTATCTTGTGGAAGTCCTAGACTAATTTTTCAACCATCTTCTCCAAACTCCTTCCCAAAAGTTTCCAAAAAAATATATAAATTCAATTTCCATAGGAATCATCCATTATGTCAAAGAAAGCAAGCAGTGTGGGATCTGCTCTCATTGTGATCACATCCAACTTCAATAAATTAAAAAAAAAAAAAAAACATTTTGTATATTTTTATTATGTTTATATAATTGACCAGCATGAGTACTACTATCATTGTCATTAGCATTTTATTGAGATAAGAACTTATGCAATGAAGCCCACTCACAACCTAGCACTAAGCTATACACTCACTCGCGGCAGAGCCATGAAGGGGCGAAGTGTGGGCAGTTGCCCCCACTGACTTCTGGAAAATGAGCTTTTTACTATATTTTTCAAACGTATTTTGTAAAATAGCCCTACAAAGGATTTGAAAAATACTGTAAATTTTACTCGCACTTTAAAATTTATTTTGAATTTGCCCCTATTGCATTTTATGGTTCTTCAGTTTTAAGTTTCGGTTTTATTTTCTCTTTCCTCAAATGTTAAAAAAACAAAAATTATGCCGCTTTTGGAAAGATTGTGCTCTGACCGAACAAAAATCCTAACTCCACCCACAAACACCCCGGTAAAAGTTATCAAGCAGACTCATAGAACAAGCAACAACTCCTCATATAACAAGTTATCCCTTTCTTCTTGTTTGTCATCAATTAAAAAAATTGAAAAAGCAGCGACTCCATGGACGTAACCCTTTCTTCATGTATAACAAGTCATCCCTTTCTTCTTGTTTGTCATCAATTAAAAAAATTGAAAAAGCAGCGACTCCATGGACGTAACCCTTTCTTCATGTATAACAAGTCATCCCTTTCTTCTTGTTTGTCATCAATTAAGCTTTCCATTCTTACAAAAAAATTACTTTTGATTTTGTGATCTTGTAACTCCTTCCATATTGATCTTGATAAATCCGCAGTGACCCATGATTTGGGTGAACCACGTAAATCTCTTGTGTTGCTTTTTGAGTATTTTTTCTATTAACTTTCTTCTCCGGTCTAAATTCATTGTATGTGTGATTGTTTGCTCAGATCTTGAAGTTTGGTATTAATCATACAATATATACCATAACATCTTGTTTTGTCATCAATTAAAAAATTAAAAAAGCAACTTCACTTTTTCATTCTTTTAAAAAAAAGAAAAAAAAACTTATTTAGTACCTACTCGAATACATTATTTTTAAAAAAATTACACCGATAATGGCTATACTTTGGAAGCATCATTTTGATCTCTATAATTTTAATTAGTTCCATTTTTCCTCTAAATTTATAACTTTGATTCAATTTGGTCCAATTAATTACAACCGTTAGCACATTTTTTTATGAAAAATATGCAAATGAGTGATATGTGTCATATTTTTTAAGGCAAAATTATACAATTCCGCAACTCAGTCAATTAATTTCAATCAACTCACTGATTATTTCGTCAAAAAACTTAACAAGATTATCAATTGGATTAAATTGACACAAAATCTAAAATTAAGAATCAAAATTAAATCAATTAAATTAAAAATGTATAGATAAAAATGACATAAACGGAGAAAATGTAAGGACAAGGACTATTAGGATAATTTACGTTATTCTTTTGACTTGTAAAAATAAAAAAGTCAAGAAAACAAAAAGATGTGGAACTGCTGAATGTAATGTAACTACAAATTAAAACTTCCAAGAAGAATGATTTATAAAAAGAATTTCTATAAACAAAAAAGAAATAATTAAGGATGTGACATTTTTACAATTATAAAATATAATTATGGGGTTACTAAAATAAAATCACAACAAATATTAATTAGCAAAATTTTGGTACAAAAATAGCATTATTAATCAATCTTCACAAAATAGACAGATAAAAAGAGGCAGCAAAGCAAACCTTTAAGGGGAACATCAAAAGGAGTAGCGGCTTTAAGTTGGTCAGAAGAGGTTAAGTTATTGAGTTTGAGCAGGGTGTCGGCAGAGGTATTGAACTGCTGTGCAATCTCAGCCACCGTGCTCCCAGCTTGCACCACGTGTCCATAATGAACGACTCTCTGACCCTCCACTTCATCACAGCTACACGGCAGTGGGATCCACAGCTCCTGCCCTATCTCAATCAGATTGGGGTCCGATATATTATTGACGGCCTGAATCTCCGGGTAAGTCACCAATCCCGAGAACACCTCCGCCGCGATGTGGTAGAGTCCGTCTCCGGCCACCACCTTGTAAATCGGGCGCCGGTTGAGGGGGATTCCGGTGCCGTTGTTGGTGCAGTGGCAGGTGAAGGGGATTTTGATCAACTGTTTGGCGGACACGGTTTGGTTGGGTGGGGTTGAGAGAAGGAAGTTGTTGGCGCCGAGGAGGTAGCGGAAGTGGGGGATGCCGAACATGGTTGTGATGTTGGACAGAGTGGTGGCGTTGGGTGAGATGTAGCCGACTAGGCCATTGCAGGTGGTTCCGGAGCTTCCGTTACAATTAAATGCCCGAGCCATTACCGTGAAAATTGATAGTAGGGTGAGCAGCGCCGTAGCCAAACCCATGCTCCCAATCTCTCTCTCTCTCTCTTTTCGCTAGTTTGTGAGTGTGTGTGAGCTGTAAGCACTAGTACTGTATGCGAAAGACCACGGATGGGTCGAAGTCTGTCTTTGTTTTTGAACATTTCTTCTCTATGGACATCTATCTTCGGTCCCAATGTGAAATGGACTTGACAATTAACTTTGTAGGACGGACCACTATAAACCCAGTTTTCATCAAATAATTATGGACATCTTAAAATTTATATAAAATATAAATTACTTTATACAATTTGAAAAATTATAAAGATTGAGGTGCCATATTCTTTTATTAAAAACTAAAAATTAGTTTTGAATTGTTATTAAAAGCATGATTGAAATAATTTCTTTAAGAAAAATTATGAATTTTACCAATAACAAATATCATTTCCATATATTACAACAAAAACATACTTTAGTGGCATTACACTAGTGGCATATTTTTAGAAAATTTCACAAAAAATGATATTTAGTGGCACGTTTTTTAAAAATACCACAAAACGACAAACATAAAAGGCTCTAGTGACATTTCAATGAACAAGTGTCACAAAACTACAACAAAAACATACTTTAGTGGCACTACACTAGTGGCATATTTTTAGAAAATGCCACAAAAAATGATATTTAGTGGCACATTTTTGAAAAATGCCACAAAACGACAAACATAAAAGCCCAATCTTGTACTGCTTCTATCTTGGAGGAATCAATGGTTACCCCTTCTCTCAACACAACATGCCCCAAAAATTTCACCTCTGTTAGCCAAAACTCACATTTCTCGAATTTAGCAAACAATTTGTGCACTCTAAGTAAGTCAAGTACTACGTGCAAATGTTCCACATGTTTCTCCTCAGATAGTGAATATATCAAAATTTCATCCACAAAAGCAACTACAAATCTATCTAAGAACTCCCAAAAGACTCGATTCATCAGGTCCAGGAACGATGGCGGGCCATTGGTTAACCCAAATGACATAACAAGAAACTCATAAGGCCATAATGTGTACGAAAGACCGTTTGTTGAATATCTCCCTCCTTAACCCTCAACTGATGGTACCCCGACCTTAGGTCTTTGAAAAGTAACGGAACCCCTTAAGTTGGTTAAATAAGTCATTTATTCTGGGTAGAGGATACTTGTTCTTCATAGTAACTCAAGTCAACTTGCTGTAATCGATACACAACTGCAATGACCTATCTTTCTTCTTAGCGAAGAGAGTCGGCACTCCCCAATGTGATGTACATGTACTAGGGTGGATAAAATCTTTATCTAAGAGGTCTTGGAGTTGGATATTCAATTCATGTAACTTGGCGGATGCAAATCTATATGGTGCCATGGAAATCGGTGACGTACTTGGCACTAAGTCAATAAAGAATTTAATCTCTTAGTGGAGTGGCAAACCTGTGAGATCTTCAGGGAAAACATCTGGGCATTCACAAACTACCCCCAGCAAGTCATCATGGATCACACTATCATCATTAGTTAGAGAAAGGGAAAAAAGACAAATAAGTTCTCCCCGACCCTTAAGGTCATAGAACGGCGTAGTGGAGTTATCACCCCCGATCACATATGAAATAAAAGCAATCCCCAGTAGGTGTAAATATGGACACTCAATGGCACTAATTATTTATTGTGGCATGGAAATGTGACGACCAATCCATACCCAATAAAACATCAAAAGTGTGCATGCCTAAGATAATAAAATCAAAAGAGAGTCGACAATCCACAACCTTAATTTCACAAGAGCGGCACACTCGCCCCAATTCCACTCTACCCCTAATTGGTGATTCCACCCACAAAGGAGATTCTAGCTTATTAGTTTCTAGTCCCAAAGCAGAAACAAAAGTAGTAGATATAAATGAATGCAATGCACCAGTATCAAACAATACTCTGGCCATAGAATTGAACACGACAAAATGACCTCTCATAACAGAGGTTCTCGGCAACTGCTCTGGCACTATAACAACATACATGCACCACTGTGGCCTCTAATCAACTTGCTCATCTCTCGGAGCATAGGCCTGCTGCACTGACTGAGCTAAGCTGGCTCCCTAAATAGCTGGTGATGCCTGAACTGAATGAGCTTGCTGGTGGCTCTGAGTTTGCCTCGACCCTGATGTGCCAAATGCACTTCCAAACTGTGGGCATGCTTTCTTCATATGTCCTGACTGACTGCACTAAAAGCAAGTAGGTCCATGCCCCTACTCTAGGACTGACTCTGTGATCAGTTAGGTGGTTGTGGTGGTGGCATTTGTTGTCCTCCTCCCTTCTATGGACATGCATTCGCTTTGTGACCAAACTGGCCACATTTGAAAGAAGTGAACCTACCCTGAGCGTTCTTGCTTGTGCTAATACTAGGCAACGGAAAAATAGATCTTGTCTGTTGTAAATGGAGTCACCCGGTGACTTATGTACTCTAGGTCTTGAAATCAAATCCTCTCCTCCTCGACGTGCACTATAATTTCTACATGTGTCGCTGCCTCTACTAAACGGTCATAGTTTCATATCATATTCCTGACAATCTTGAACAAAATTTTGGTTCTAACTCATCTCAAATTCAATACAACGACGTTCTTCCGTTGCCACTAACTCTGATGCAAACCGAGCCGCTTCGAATTCAACCACTAATGTGCTTAACTACTTAGGGTCTAAAAACTCCTATCTCAGTCTCTCCCTACCAGTGGAATGTAGGTACTTGTCTTAGAAAACATCAACAAAGGCTTCCCATGTCGGCTCAACTCTGCCTTTGGCGTATTTCCACCATTGGCCCGCATCTCCTTTCAAATAATAGCTCGCTAGAGTCACTCCGAGCTCGCCATCCTCAATGTGAAGCATTTTAAATGTCTTCATGGTTTGCTTCAACCATTCATTTGCCTTCTTGGGCTCCAAACACCCATGAAACTCATCTATCTTAGCCTACAAAAATTCCGGGGTAAAAAAAACCGCCCTAGTCTCTACGGCATTTTTCGGGCTAGATTCTCCGATTTCAACATGTTTATCAACTCCCTCAAAGCCTCCACTATCTCCCTGGCTAATCCACCCATAGCAGCTTGACCTAGTTGGTCCGGGACTCCCCCTTGTCCCACTAGCTCGGCCACATTAGTTTGGGCCGCTTGCTAGGCTACATTGGCTTAGTTGAGTCCCTCCTCTTGTATCAAAACCTCGTGAACCAGTACCTCATGAACTCCATAGCAAGGTCTACCCCACCTCTTGCCTTTATCACCGTGAGTTTGTTCTGGTCCTAACATCGTAATTTAGGACAAAAGCGAACAACTTCGCACATGTTCCCACAGTGCTCACAACCGAAACTCACATGTCCCACCAAAATAGTGATTATGTTCTTAATTCCCATCAACATTTAATTTCAATCAACCAACTTCCTTGAGTAGTACATCATTTCATAGAAGAAGTATACAAAACATTCACATGCAATGCATATTCACCCTCTTCAAAGATGAATGCATAGCATATGTAACTATATAAAATTGAAAGAAATGAACAACAAGATAGATGCCCTGAGGCTACAAGTTCCAAGGCTTAAACCTTGTTACATAAAAAGGTTGTCAAACCCAAACATCTTATTCCTTTGGCTTGCAATAAAATCATACAAAACAGAGAGCCTTTTGCCCTCAATACATTCCACACCTTCAACTAGGCGGGATCACTACATCCTTTCCTACACAAATCCACTAAGGGCGAGCACAAGGCCCTATAGGGATATCTTATCAAAGTATAGATGTTTGGAGCAATCTCATACAAATGCATGCAATGCCATGTCATGTTCAAATATTAAAATTTTCCATCTCTATCAAAATCCATGCAGTATTTCATTCAAGGTTCACTATTTTCATGAAAGTTAAGATTTAAACAATGAAGTGGCAAATACGACTCAGGTAATTCCCCAGGGCTAGTGTCTGTAAGTAGGCGTATCAAGCACTGCCAAATCCTACCTTACCGGCTACTAACCGGAGGGCTTAGGCACCCATACGCGCATGTTTCTAGTCTTACACCAAGGACACTCATTAATTTCCAATCCACACCCCTTAACCGAACTTACCAAATATATTTACCCTGAAACATTTTCAATAACAATAGTTGTTTTCTCAAAACAACAAGTTAATTTCCGAGTCAAGATTGTGAATGAATGATATTCAAGATAATGAAAATGAATGAAATGAGAAATAATCACAAATAAATATCTTCGTTTCACAATATCTCAATAACTCACAATTTATTCAAGTAGGGATTCTATGATGCAATAGTTCTCAAAATCATAGTAAGGTATAAATCCATGTGACATATAACATTTCGTCATATTTACAATCAACAATCACTCATAAATTCACAAATTTCCAAACATAAACATCACATATTACTGTAACTGTTCAACCGAAATTCTCATTCCTTTCATGTGTGCTTCAACAACATAACAACCTTAGAAAGGTTTCTTCAATTTCTTAGGACATTTAACATCAATTTCAAGAATATTACACCAATTTCACTTTTTTCCAAATTACTCCAAAGCCTAGGGTTTAATCAAAAGAGAGTTTTTCCTTAATTTTTAAAATGGCTACAAGCATGAATCCCTAGTGGTTCAGAGTTCACAAAAATTAATTTATCTTGGACCAAATCATGAGAGAGAAATCATTTCTCTAACATTTTGTTTGTTCCACATCTCGAAACAAACTAGAAATCGTAGTGAAATGAACAAGATATACTAAAACCATATGTATTACTCAACGAAAATCATTACCTCAAGACCTTGAGAAAAAGAGTTAAAAAGCTCCAAAATCAACTGCGTTAAAATTTGATCTGCACTATACACAATATAACCCTTGACAAGCTCTCCAAATTAAAGAAGACACTATGGCCAAAATCTCAATGGAGAATGAGAGATCTAGGAGTAAATGAAATGGGTGGAGGGTTTTCTATAGAGAGAAGAGAGAAAAGTGAGTGGGAGTTAATGTATAGAGATTGTGAAGTGAAAAGTGATGAAAAAGTGTGTAAGACTCAACTTTTGAAGTGATTTGACACAATTTTTATAGCAGACTGTGGACAGACCGCTCGAGTGAGCAAGCCTG